ACTGTGAATGTTTACATGGTGTGTTACAATTAAAAATATGAAAACATATAATTGTTTGTGTGGTTTTAGCTTAAGCAGACTGTGTTTGTCTATTGTTGTGACTTAGATGAAGATCAGAACACATTTTATGACCAACTTATGCAGAAATCCAGGTAATTCCAAAGGGTTCACATTACTTTTTCTTGTAACTGTATAATACAGCTTTAAACTCTCCAACAAATGTCAACATTGGTCTATAAATACTAAATCGTTTTTTATTTTTTTATTTGGGTGCGTTCACACCTGCCTTGTATAGTCCGGTTGAATCGAACCCTGGTGCGTTTAGCCGCTTGGTGCGGTTCATTTGGGTCCAAGACCTCTTAATTGAAATAAACAACCGGACTCTGGTCCGCTAAAATAGGTGGTCTCGGAGCGCTTGCTTGCGAACTCTGGAGCGGTTCATTGCTGGTGTGAACGCAGTCCGCAACAAAACATAGGAAAGCGCAGTATTTACGTGTCACAAGAACGCGGATATCTTCAACATCTTTAGCGAAAGAGTCTTTCAAGACATTCGCGGTTGTTTAGTTAAAGAGTGAAGCAGAATGAAGTGTTGAACAGTGTCGTGTAAAGTAAAAATGCTCCGTCAGCTACATAATATTAAGAACACCTGTCGTCGGTGAAACGCCCCTCCTTACTGAAGAACGTCTCTCATTATATGTGTTATAATGTTTTTTAACGGACGTTGTCTGATTATATAATCATATGCGGGGGCCGCTAGTGTCTGTTGATCTCCAGATTAACAGCAGCATGAGAATAACCTGCCGATGCTCCATGGCGGAGGCTCCGGTAGAAATTGCCGGGATTTGCGTTTTTACCCCCTTAATGTCTGACCAATGGTTGAACAGCATTTCCGTGCACACGACTTGTGTTTAAAGTTTATAGTCCTTTTGAGTTTTGCCCCTGTCGTCTGGTGCGCACCAGAGAGCGGACTATTAGGTGTGAATGCACCCAATAAGTTAAGCTGTTTACAGAGAAAGAAGGCTCCCTTTTGGCTATCATTGTGAGGCAACTAAATGCTTATAGATTTAGCTGTAGTTTTTGGTCCTACATTTCATTCATCTTCTACAATTTTCCCCTTGAGGTTTAACTTTTGTACTAAACACATTTGAGCCGCTTAAGGTCATATTTTCTTCTTTTTATAAACATTAAAGCTCCAGGGCTGAATAAAAGAGCTACGTCCCTACCTTCCTCCCTCGCCCCACACACATCTGAATCTCTTGCTGTGTTATTTGTGCCCATGACTGTGTGTGTCCTTCCTCCAGGTGGTGGACTTCATGGGTTCCCTGCTGCAGAGGGCCTGTGTTGGTCTGGATCAGGGCACAGGTCCAGGCTTGGGGAACCCAGTAGAGAGCGATACGCTGAGTATGGGGGTGGGTCTGCTGGCCACCCTGCTGTCTGGATCTCAGGTACTCAAACCATAAACAGCGCCTACCTCACCATGTATAGTCACTGTATAGTCATGGCAATAGGAATATCAAATACTACAGGTACATTTAATAATGCATTAATACATGTATAATTGTAGGACTTAGGAACATGTTTTCTAGGTGAATTCAAGTAAAATTCCCCCTCACTGGCTGCATGTACACTGCAGTGAGATGATTATGATAACCCCTGGTGGAGAGTTTCAGCTGCTGTTAAAGGGACAGTTCACCCAAACACAGGTAAGAGAAACAATTATGTCTTTTTGATTTTAGGAGGAACTTTCCCTTTTTACTAGCAGCTGAAAATGTGCTCTGGTCACAGTAAGAGTAGTTAGAGTAAGGAACAACTGTATGTAGGATCTCTGCTGCCGCCCAATCAGAATAAAGAACTCTGGCAGCACAGGGCTAATACGATCTGAATCATCTTCAGTGTCAAACATATGTTTTCCTGGGTTTCCCTCACAACCTGCTCTCTCACAACCAACCTCTCCATTTTTAAACATTACAGCTTAGTGCCGAGGACTACTCTTCTATGTGGAGACTTCTCCCCCCCCTGGAGACGCTCTCTGAGAAGCACTCTGACGTCTTCATCCAGGAGTTGGCATCCAACCTCAGAGCTGTCATAGCCACTCACGGTGCCTACCGGCCGGAACACTTCTCTTCTGAGGCTCAGCGCTCCAGAAACCCTGAAACCATGTCACAGAACAAAAGTGTGCCTTTAATGAAAAAAGGAAATATGCAAACTGAAGCAACAGACTCACAGACTAGCCCTCCTCCATCTCCCTTAAACAGTCAGCCTGAGTCTGAGCCTGGACCAGGAATAAGTCCCAGAGGTGGAGGGAGGACCTCTGGCACCAGTAAACCTGGCCCTCCGGTCAAGCCCTTTTCTGATTTGCTGTTGGAGGCATGTGACCCGGACGTGCCGACCCGAGCGTTCGCTCTGAGGGTCCTGACCCTGATGGTACAGAAGCAGAACCCCGAGGCTGCCCAGATGCAGGAGAAAGTCCTCATGGTGGGTCGCTTGGTTATGTGCTTCGACTTTTTTATTCTTGTGTCAGCATTTAGTCTGTTATTCTGCTCTAAAAATACTGATTAACATTTTATCCAACACCAGCCAACACCCTGAAGGACTGCATCTGTGCTCCCTCACAGGGTCGCTCTGATCAACATCCAGTTATTAACTGCCATTAAATGGTGACATCACATCCTTTTTTATGAGCTAGCAGTGCACAGGGAAGGTGAATGTTCCTTTAAAGATCCCATGACATGGCCATTTCTACTGATCATAATTCCATTGTTGAGGTATACTAAATAGATTTATACTGTTCAATGTTCCAAACTCACATTGGTTTCGCATACAGCATCTCTGTAAACTATGTGTATTCAGCAGTATTCACTCTCTCCACTAAACGGCTCGTTGCAGCTCTTGCCCCCCTTCCCTGTGAGCCCAGTGTGCTCTAATTGTCGGGACGTTGTGAATCGTGCTGAGCTCCGTGGAGGTGTGATTTCCTTGTTTAGCGATACACAGCCAAACTCATCCTGAGCACACACAAAGTCACAGCCGAAGTAAAAACAATAAGTGTGGCTTGATATTGAGTAAGAAAAATGTTTATAGGTTGATAAACGCTGTGAGAATGGGTCTGCAGAGAGAATTTCACCGCGATCTCAACTGTCTGTTATCAGCCTGCAGC